GGAAGTCCAGGAAGACTATGTCCACTGCTACCCCTGCATCTAATGATCTGGTGATCTGATCGTAAAAGGCCACCAGGTTGGTCTGACAGGACCTGCCACTGATGAACCTGTGTTGGTTGCCCCTAAGCATGCAGTCCCCTGCTGGCCCCTCCTGGATGTGTGCCAGAACAATTTTCTCAAACAGCTTGCCTAGGATCGAGGTAAGACTAACTGGCCTATAGTTTCCTGGGTCCTCCTTCCTCCCTTTTTTGAAGATGGGAACCATGTTGGCCCTCTTCCAGTCCTCCGGCACCACTCCAGAGCACCACGAGTGCTTGTAAAGCTGTGCCAGGGTCCTGCAATGACCTCAGCCAATTCCTTTATAACTCTAGGGTGGAGATCATCCGGACCGAATGAGACGGTGCCTGTATTTTTAAAAAAGTAGTTTCATATGTTCCTATTATAAAGTTACAGTTGTGTTTTTATCCCTATTATTCAGATATAAGATGACCTCCCCCTTAATAATTAGATTCATTATATGGAAAATTTATAAATTTGTTATAACTTTCCAGGTATAGAATCTAATTATTGGAGATTTACCTTTGCATTTGTCCCACTCCCTTTCCACTGGTAGTGCAGGTAAATAAATCTGAGGGGTCAGGTAGCCGCTTTGCCTTCTGTCATCTCAACTTCTCCCTGCAGTCCCTTCCCTCCCTCCTTACTGTCAGCCCCTGCTCTCTCTGAGCACATGGAAGGGAGTGGCAAACTTGAAAACATTGACCTTGAAGTAGACATAAGCAAATTACAAGTACCCAAAGACTTGGTTCATCCAGAATTGACACATTTCACCTTTTTTGAAAGTGCTGCGAGTCTTAGCCTAGGTACTCTATAAACACACTTTTTTAGCAGCACTTTTGAAATCTACTTTAGACACAGTACAAACTATGTATGATATTAGTTTAAAGCCAAAAGGCTCATGATATGCCATATAGTTCATTGGGTTGGCTTCAGCAATCAAGTGTTTCAAGCCATGGTGGCCCCAGAGCTGAGTGCTGCTCTGTATATATGTATATTTCAGACCAGCATTCCCTGCACCTGCTAATTAGCCACGTGTTCTTGTCATGAGTCCTGGGATCCTCCAAAAATGTATATGTAGATGAAATTCAGGGAAGTCTGGTCCACTTCTACTCATGGAGGGCAGGACCACAGTAATCATATGCAACAGGCTGAGAGGGGTAACAGGTTCTGGGTGAACTGTTTAGGGTCCTGTTTGGTGATGTTAGCCAAGCACTTAAGGTTGGTGAAGCAACAGGAATCATTGGAAATGGGAGAGAGAGTGGGAGTGAAGAGGAAACCTAAATGTATTCAGTGTAGTGGTTCACCATGACTTGAAGAGGCTGTGCCGAGGGGGACTACACACAATGGGCACTTTCATTTTATCTCATTCGGGTGTACTGCATTAACTTGTCTTTGTGGTAGGTTCCTATTAATACGTTTGCCCAATATATAATATGTTTTATAGTTATGTTCAGTGTTGGCTGCATTTAATCAACTTTATAGTAGGTTTCCATTACTGAGCACATGCTGTTTTTGGCCGCAGTTTAATGATAGACAATATGCTTAATGAGGTTTGCTTATATGCAAATATAAGATAAGGAGCTTTTTCCCCACATGCTGGTAGGGGTTGGGAGTGGGAAATCTCATCTTGTATTTGTGTAAACACGGTAATTTTTCACAATTTCCACTGGTGAGTTTACTTTCATCTCTGTACTTCAAAGAAACTGTGAAAATTTATAGTAGAATTGTAATAAAACTGTAAAAAGAAATACTGATATATATGCAGAAGACAATCTCGTCATGAAGTCTTCTAACTATTTTATCCAGTAGTAATTATTCCAAACTCCAGTCCACTCAAACACTCGAATGAGCTTAGAGTTAGGCTTCCGAATCAGAAGGTGGCAGTCGTGGCCCCTAGACACGCAACTCCTGTGAATGCTTGCAACAACCTCATTTGGAGTGGTTGTATCATGGGAGTCATCCTTCCTTTTCAAAAAGGCTGAAGTAGCATTCTGTGCTTCAGTCTCTTTCCATGAGGAAAAGCAAGGGTTGTAGCTATTATGCCCTAACCCTAATAAAAGAAGGGGAAAGATCCTTAATACGAACCTTTGCATTTGCAGTATTGCAATCTACACTTCCTGCCACATATCGTGACCTCTGCTAAAAAGATATTGGGAGATATTAAATACTTTGTGAGCAAAGAATATGGTATAGGAGAGAGACTGTTATGCTATACTCTAAAAGCTAAATGTGCATGGTTAGGATGTTCATGGAATATAGGCAAAATGTGTGGTGTTGTTTGTGTGGGTTTTTTTAAAAAATACTGTATTTCTGCAATTGAATTGCAGATAATGGATTTAGAAGAAGCAGTTCCTTTGGATTGTTGTCGTCTTGTTAAATATGATGAGTTCCATGATTATTTGGAGCGATCATATGAAGGTGAAGAGGATACGCCAATGGGAATCTTACTTGGAGGAGTCAAATCAACCTACATGTTTGACCTGCTTCTAGAAACAAAAAGACCTGACCAAGTTTTCCAGTGCTATAAACCTGGTGGTAAGGAGGAAGGCTTTACAAATGGCTAAATAAATAATGTACAGCATACATTGGAAAAAAAACAACAAACCTTCTTCAGTGTTTAAAAAAAAGTTTATGCGATATGAATGTAGAAGAAAAATGATTTTTTTTTCTTGTGGATTCTAGCAATTCCTGCAATTTTCAAAGCCTTTCTAATTCACAGTTTTACAAAGGTGATGTTTTGCAGTATCAAAAGGATGGTCAGCATTTCTATATTGTCACCTATATGGCTTTCTTGCCCTCTTGACATTTAAACTGGTTGCCTGTCTCTGAGCCTAGAGAGTCCATTGGTTAGAGTGCCGATAAGGTATGCTAGTTCCTTTAACCAGTAGTACACAGCTCAAATGACCAGGTATCTTTTACAGCTGGCTTGACTGGAGGCTGCCTGCAGCACAAATCTGAAGCAGGAATTAAATTTACATATCTGGATCCAGTACAAGACACTTTAGCTGCTCAGCTACCTCACCCTCTGTACATTTAATTATATTCTTAAATAGGACATTAAAAACAGTAAACTTTCGGACTTTTTTGTACTGACTCATCTCTCATGTGTTTTACTTTTCTCCTTCTGTCCCCATAGAGGTCATGGTAAAGGTTCATGTGGTTGACCTAAAGACAGAATCTGTTGCTCCGCCTATCAGTGTCCGAGCCTATTTGAACCAGACAGTTACTGAATTCAAACAGCTTATTTCAAAGGTAAAATTTTAATTCTTCATGTTTTGAATTCTTTTGAATTATGAAAACTCAATAAAATATAAACATAAAGGATGAGAGCCTTGGATTGCTCCTTACCCTTCTTGCTGTGTAAAGCCCTAGAAATGTTGTCCAGCACAGAAAATAAATGTAATGGTGTATCGGAGTACTCAGGCACAAATTCCAGTTAGTGTGTGCTGAATACGGGGTGACAACATACAATTCTACAGAAGTGCTGCTCTCCTCTTTAAGTGGTACTGGATCCTGTATAACATGTTTTAAGTATTAACTCTTTCTTGCATTAATTAGTATAGAAGGTGGTTAAAAAAACCCCAACCTACAGTTTTGAACTTGTTCACTTTTCAGGTTTGAAATAAATTCACTTCTCAGTTTTACTTTTAAAATCGTTACAAAAGGAGAGGTTTTGATTCATCTTATATTTAGCAATTAATGACTTATCCAGCTTTTTTAAAACTCATGTCACTTTGTTACTCAGACTTCATGCACAAGTGAATTGTATACCACTGATGTTCTGTTTTGTTTTGTTCTAAGTTTACCACTTTCTCTAATTTTATTAAGAGTACCTTGTGTTCATTAATCTAGAATAGAAGGGAGGAAAAAAATAATTCAATAATCTCCTACCCACCACTCTCCCCCACTACCCCTTCATCATTTTCAGTCAACCAGTTTCATCATCCCAGGTTACTTTTTCCCTCATGGTTGTTTGAGAAATAGCATATAATTATTTATGAAAGTGTATGCAATTTTGTTTTGTTGCCTTGTAGGCTACTTACCTGCCTGCTGAAACAATGCGGGTAGTGCTAGAACGTTGCTACAATGACTTGCGCCTTCTCAATGTTGCCAACAAAACACTGAAAGCAGAAGGCTTTTTTAGAAGTAATAAGGTAATGTCTGTTCTTAAATCATTCTTTTCCAATGTGTTTATAACTGATACTAGTTACTACTAACATTTAGCATTGCATACAAAAATAGTGTATATTTATGAGAGCCCCTCTACATTTGCAGATAAAGGTGCAATGGGATCTAATGTGCAGTCCACATGATGTTGCCTCCTGCCATGCCAGCAAGCTCCTTTAGCTGGGAGCCACCTCAGTTGAGGGGCACTCTGCTGCAGAGGTGCACCACACACCCCTACAGCTGAGATGCAGCTGCTGTGATCTTCCAGCCCTGGTGGTATGTGAAGCCCCTGGGGCTGGGAGATCAAAGCAGCTGCAGTCTCCCAGGCCCAGGGGTGTGTGAAGTCTGGGACTCAGGGTCCCTTCGTTGCAGATCTCTTAGCCTTGGCTTGGCATGGTGCACCTAGCTGCAAGGGAGACCAAGCTACCTATGCAAATTAAAGCTTGATAGCAACCCTCTATTAAGTTAGTATGTATTTTCAAGGTCTAGCTTTATAACTGGTTGGAGCTTTTTATGGCATTGAAGTGGATTTAGGGTTAACTAGCTCACTCACAGTCCTCCAGTGTCCTTTTACAGGTTCACAGCCTCTGGTTATCACCTGCACTGCTCCAGGACAGGCTCCCTCCCAGCAGGTTTCAGTCAGCATAAGTACTTTGCACTGTGCAAACTATCCACATGTGGTATTCTCCTAGAACACCTGGTTTACTCTAACCATATACACAGTCTCTGGCCAACTCCCAGGAGAAAGGCACTTTATGAATGGTACTCAGGCAACGCTGTGCTGACCTGCTGGCTTCCTCCCTTTCCAGTCTCTGTTCCAGGCTGTCAGTGTGTCAGCTCCCAGCTCTTGGCTCTGTCTCAGCTGTCTGCCTATGTTGGTTCTCAGCCCTCCACTCCCAGCTGTCTGCCTGTCCAGGCTCTCAGCTCTTCACTGTCTGCCTGTCCTGGCCTCTTCCCCTTAGAAGTCTAACATGCTCCCTGAGTTCTCTCTTGAAGGCTCTCTATCGTTCCTCTCCCCAGGAGCCCTCTTAACTTCCTGTGGGCTGGCTTATTATCTGGATCAGCTGGCCAGTCCTAGGCAGCCTGTAATCGGGTTTCACTTCTTGCAGCTGGTCTGTAGTCCTTACCAGCCTACAGCCTGCCACCGGACACCTTGAGCTGGCAGTCTGCTACAGCATAATAAGTACTTTGCATATGTAGCTAGTCTCAGGGTAATTGTACAGTTAACCAGTGTAATACCTGCAACATGTAGAGGGGGCCTCAGTTTACTTCATTTTTCCGAATTTTCATGTCATGCCTGGCTTGAGAGCTAGCAAATGTTATAGTACGAATAGTTATGGCTGTATATGAGACTAGATAGACATGTCAAAGTAGAGCACGCCAGCATTCTGCAATGTGGTCAATCCCTGAAGCCCAGTGTTAGTGCTGAGAGGTTTTAAAAACATCCTCAGTTTAGGGAACCAAAGGTGGTACGTATCTTGACAGACTGGTATATTGTGAATTGTTACTTCAGGCCCTAGACAGTTCCCATGCTGAGAGCAAGTACAGCTCTTATTTAAATGTCTTGCCGAACTTAATACAAATGGCATGTTTTGGTTTTTAATCTTTCATCCAGTTTCTTTTAATGTACTAGCTCACCAAGGGAAGCCTTGATCAGTATTAACTACTGTCATAAATATTTACTGTACCTTAAGTCGAGCAGTTCTATAACTTCAATTGTATCTGTAGCATTGTCCTTGCTACTTCAGTGATGGGACTTTAATTTGGCACAGGAAATCTGCATTTCTTCCATTTAACCACGTGTTGACTTTTGCTGCTCCTTGCCTCTTCCCAAACAAGCAGTGCCAAGTCTGGGGGAGGGGGGCAGGGCTTTACCCCAGTGTTCACTGTGCTCTGCTCCCAGGGGCTGCAGGGACTGGCTCTTAGAAGTGGCGCATGGGGGAAGCTGCCTCCCACACGACATTCAAAGCAGTGCCCACTGGCTTTTCCTGCCACACAGGTGGGTGGCACATGCAGGAATCTCAGAGCCTGTGCAGCCAAGACCTGCCCCAGTTCTTGGTGCCTTAGGTTTTAAATGCCATCCCACTTGGCCATCTGAGCAGTGTGGGTGGGGATATCAACAGCTGCAGGGTCAGGGAGGCTAGCTGTGCCCCAGTTCCCAGTCTTGCAGACTTTAAATGCCCTGCCTCCCCTTTCCACCTGCCCCCTCCCCCCTGAAGGCCCTATGGGTTTTAAATGCTGCACATGCTGCCCATTGGCATTGCACACTGATTTTTAAACTCAAGGCGGGCTGCCTGTTGACTGCCTGTCCCCTTTCTGGGCAGAAGAGAAGACAAACTGTCATTTTTGGGCTTCCTTCAGGGTAGGAGTGGCCCAAGGAATAGTGCTGTAGAGCCTCCAGCTGCAGAAGCCTCCTCACCTGTGCAGTTCTCTAACAAGGGGCTGGAACACAGTGTGCTTTCAGCTCTCAGGTTACTGTGGCAATTGTTACAGATGGATTTTGGGGGTGGGGGTCGTTCTTGGATCAATAGTGGTTTGTGAAGGCTTTGTTGCTCTGTGGCTGAGCAAAAGAATGGCATTGACTGATTCCAAAATGAGTTGCATCAGGCCCTCTTTATCAGAAGGAGGCACTGAAGAAAGTGAAGGTAACATTACTCCTCTCTCACCACCCCGGTCTTTTGAATTTTAAGATGTAATTTAGTTATGGTATTGCTTGAATCATGTATATATTTAAAGGCTTGCAGTTTATTAAGCAATAGAGTAAATTTTAAGACCTAGGATTTAGCTTTCCAGGAAGTCAGTATCTATCCTCTTCTTGTGTCTATCACAGATACAAATGCATAAGTACTTATACTCACATCACATATGTAGGTTGTGTAAATTATACTGCATGTGTAATGCAGTATAATTCTTTCTGAATATTAGGAGAGTGCATTTTGAAGTGACATGCAAACTTTTTGTCAATAAATAAGGTTAAAAGAGGCCTTGTCAGTTCTTTTACAACATCAGTGTTAATGCGATGAGATTTTACACACACACACACACACACACACACACACACACACA